ATTATATAGTTAGATTCTGACATTATATGGTTAGATTCTGACACTATGTGTTTAGATTCCGACACTATGCGGTTAGATTCTGACACTATATGGTTGGATTCTGACACTATGTGGTTAGATTCTGACATTATATGGTTGGATTCTGACACTATGTGGTTAGATTCTGACATTATATGGTTAGATTCTGACATTATATAGTTAGATTCTGACATTATATGGTTAGATTCTGACACTATGTGTTTAGATTCCGACACTATGCGGTTAGATTCTGACATTATATGATTAGATTCTGAAACTATGTGATTAGATTCCGACACTATGCGGTTAGATTCTGACACTATGTGGTTAGATTCTGACACTATGTGGTTAGATTCTGACACTATGTGGTTAGATTCTGACATTATATGGTTAGATTCTGACATTATATGGTTGGATTCTGACACTATGTGGTTAGATTCTGACATTATATGGTTAGATTCTGACACTATGTGGTTAGATTCTGACATTATATGGTTTTGACTCTGACACCATTTGATTAGATTCTGACACTATGTGGTGAGATTCTGACATTATATGGTTAGATTCTGACACTATGTGGTTAGATTCTGACACTATGTGGTTAGATTCTGACACTATATGGTTAGATTCTGACATTATATGGTTAGACTCTGACACCATGTGATTAGATTCTGACATTATATGGTTAGACTCTGACACCATGTGATTAGATTCTGACATTATATGGTTAGATTCTGACACCATGTGACACTATGTGTTTAGATTCTGACACCATATGATTAGATTCTGACACTATGTGGTTAGATTCTGACACGATGTGGTTAGATTCTGACATTATATGGTTAGATTCTGACACTATGTGTTTAGATTCTGACAGTATATGAATAGATTCTGACACTATGTAGTTAGATTCTGACACTATGTGGTTAGATTCTGACATTAATGTTTAGATTCTGACACTATGTGTTTAGATTCTGACAGTATATGAATAGATTCTGACACTATATGGTTAGATTCTGACACTATATGGTTAGATTCTGACACTATGTGTTTAGATTCTGACATTATATGGTTAGATTCTGACACTATATGGTTAGATTCTGACACCATGTGATTAAATTCTGACACCATATGATTAGAAAGTGGAACGTACATCTGAACAGCACTGTGTAATTCTGACCACACTGAAGGTTTTCATAGTTTTCGGGTTAGATGTTCCATGAATGAATGAAACGGAAGTGGTTGGTTACTTGTTACTGCTGGAATGAAACGGAAGTGGTTGGTTACTTGTTACTGCTGGAATGAAGCGGAAGTGGTTGGTTACTTGTTACTGCTAGAATGAAACGGAAGTGGTT